ATGGTGGTAGAGGGTGGTAGCAGTTGTGATGGTTGTAGAGGGTGGTAGTGGTTGTGATGGTGGTAGTGGTTGTGATGGTGGTAGAGGGTGGTAGTGGTTGTGATGGTGGTAGTGATAGTGGTAGAGGGTGGCAGTGGTTGTGATGGTGGTAGTGATGGTGGTAGAGGGTGGTGGTGGTAGTGATGGTGGTGGTTGTGGTAGTGATGATGGTAGAGGGTGGTAGTGGTTGTGATGGTGGTAGAGGGTGGTAGTGATGGTGGTAGTGGTTGTGATGGTGGTAGTGGGTGTGATGGTGGTAGAGGGTGGTAGTAATTGTGGTAGGTGGTAGTGGTTGTGATGGTAGAGGGTGGTTGTGATGGTGGTAAAGGGTGGTAGTGATGGTGGTAGTGATTGTGATGGTGGTAGAGGGTGGTAGTGGTTTTGATGTGGTAGTGATTGTGATGGTAGAGAGTGGTAGTGATGGTGGTAGAGGGTGGTAGTTGTTGTGATGGTGGTAGAGAGTGGTAGTGGTTGTGATGGTAGAGGGTGGTAGTGATGGTGGTAGAGGGTGGTAGTTGTTGTGATGGTGGTAGAGGGTGGTAGAGGGTAGAGCTGCAAGACCTACATCTAAAACAGCAATAGACCACAACTGAGAAAATTGCTTCAGAGGAGGAGGAAGAGAGAGGGGAGAAGGTGCCTTCTTCAGTGATTAAGGACATGTGTGCAAAGTGATCGAGTTGCAGGGGTACAGTGACTCTCAAGCCTCTCTCCTCCTCCCTATCTTCCATAAGCCAAGAAGGGTCTTCAATAAAGGTATGTAATACTGATTTAAGTGTTCATGTATTTATTTTGTTTAGGTCTCATTATTTGGTATATGTAAAACTATAGTTAAACTTTAAAAAAATTATTTTTGTAAATATTTTTGGGTGTCTGGAACGGATTAATTGTATTTACATTAATTCTTAAGGGAAATATTATTTTGCTTTTCGGCCATTTTGGTTTTAAGCCGAGCTTCTGGAATGGATTATGGCCGATAACTGAGGGTCCACTGTATATGTATTTTATGGCTCTGGGAGGCTTTAATTAAATGTTGTAACATATTACATGTGGGTGGGGTGGGCTGACCTGGCTGGCTACCATACCTCCCAGACCTATTTCCTACAAATAAAACTCGCCTTTCACCCTGCATTAAGACTACAAATATTTTAAGGTAAGTATGATGGTTGTACAGTGGACCCCCGCTTTTCGGCGGCCGTGACTTTCATGAAATCTGACTTTCGGCAAAATATAGCCTCGCAGTTCATGATTTTCTTCTTGATTTGGCAACCGTCTGGTACACATGGGAGCAGCATCCCAGCGTCAGTGTGCACAAAAAGCCAGTCTCCCGCACCATTCACACTCAGTGTGCCATTGTTTATCGGCGAGTGACTATCACCCCACGGGTTCATATGATACATTTCATAATAATCCATTGTTTTCTGTGCTTGCAACTGCTAAATAAGCCACCATCGGCCCAAAGAAAGCTCCTAGTGTAAGGCCTTTGGTAAAGATGGAAAGAAACATGATAGAATTCAAGAAAAAATCATAGCAAAGTACCAAACACCAACACTTACTCCTCACATATGACATTTTATTCATTCTAGAATATATATCATGTTTCTATGTTATTAATATTGTTTATGTCATAGATGAAATTCGATAGATAAATAAGCTGTAGAGATATTAACGTCATACTGAAGCATAATAAACTCGTCTCCCTCTCCCCTCCTGTCTACCATACATCAACAAGTCTTCAGCAAAGGTAAGTGTTCATTTATCCATTTTATTAGTGCTTTATATTCATTTGCCATTGTTTTCTGTATGTAAATCCATATTAATCTTTAAAAAAAATATTTTTTTTAAATACTTTTGGGCGTCTGAAACGGATTAATTGGATTTCCATTATTTCTTATGGGGAAAATGGTTTCATTAGTTGTGAATTTCGCCATTCAGCAGACTCTCTGGAATGGATTAATCATGAAACTCGGGGCTCCACTATACTGTGAGTGTGTTATACTTTTTATAGTGTTTAATGCCTACTAGTTCTATTGTTAAATTAATATGTGTGCTAGTGTAAACTTGTTATCTGGCATTTTTATGCATTTATAAGTGGAAAAAATGGCGTTCTGCTTTCCGGCAGTAGCCTGGAACCTAACCTGAAATATAAGTGGGGCACTACTCGTGCCCACTTATATTTCAGGCAAGGGTTATGTGCATGTGTGTGTTTCGTGATTAATCCATTCCACAGAGTCTACCGAAAGTTGAAATTCACGAAACTCGAAACCATTTTCCCCATGAGAAATAATGTAAATCCAATTAATCCATTCCAGACACCCAAAAGTATTAACAAAAATTATTTTTTATAGATTAAATATAGATTTACATACAGAAAAGAATGAGAAATCAAGTATAAAACAATAATAACATCACGCTTATCTTTATTGAAGACTCTTGTTTGTGTATGGAAGATGGGAGGAGGGGAGAGGATGGAGAAGTTACACTATCGTTTGATAGGAGTCTCCCCCTTCCATCAAGAGTTTAGGTACCAAGTCCTCGTTCAGGGTTACTTCCCTTCTTTGTTTTTTAATGCCACTAGGACCAGCATGAGAGTCACTGGACTCTTCTCGCACACAAAAACTGTCCAGAGAGCTCTGGCAACTCTACCCTCTACCACAATCACTACCACCCTCTACCACCATCACAACCACTACCACCCTCTACCACCATCACAACCACTACCACTCTCTACTACCATCACTACCACCTTCTACCACCACCCTCTACCACCATCACAACTACTACCACCCTCTACCACCATAAACACTACCACCCTCTACCACCATCACAATCACTACCACCATCACAATCACTACCACCCTCTACCATCACTACCACCCTCTACCATCACTACTACCCTCTACCATCACTACCACCCTCTACCATCATCACAGCCACTACCACCCTCTACCACCATCACAACCACTACCACCAGCACTACCACTATCACTACCACCCTCTACCACAATCACAACCAATACCACCCTCTACCACCATCACAACCATTACCACCCTCTACAACCATCACAACCACTACCACCCTCTACCACCATCACAACCCTTACCTCCATCACAACCACTACCACCCCTACCACCATCACAACCACTACCACCCTCTACCACCATCACAACCACTACCACCCTCTACCACCATCACTATCACCCTCTACCACCATCACAACCACTATCACCCTCTACCACTATCACAACCACTACCACCCTCTACCACCATAACCACTACCACCCTCTACAACCATGACTACCACCATCTACAACCATCACAACCACTACCACCCTCTACAACCATTACCACATCTCTACCACCCTTTATCACTATCACAACCACTACAACCATCTACCACCATCACTGCCATGCTCTACCACCATCACTATCCCCTCTACCACCATCACAACCACTACCACCCTCTACCACCATCACAACCACTATCACCCTCTACCACCATCACAACCACTATCACCTTCTACCACCACCCTCTACCACCATGACAACCACTACCATCCTCTACAACCATGACAACCACTATCACCCTCTACCACCATGACAACCACTACCACCCTCTACCACCATGACAACCACTACCACCCTCTACCACCATGACAACCACTTCCATCCTCTACAACCATCACAACCACTACCACCCTCTACCACCACCACTTTTGTATTTTTCTACAAACTTTTTCTTTAATTACATTGTGTGAGCTTCCCATACATCCTGCTGAGGCTGGCCACATGCACTCCACTTTCATATTTTGTGATGATTTCTTTCTTTAATTCTTTCGTGCTTCTCACCTTGTTGACCAAAGGCCTGGCACTAGGATCTTTCTTTGGGCCCATGGTAGCTTATTTATCAGTTGCAGCACTAAAAAAGAATGGATTATTACGTATGAACGCATGGGGTGATGGTCACTCGCCCAGAAACAATGCCACAGTGACTCTGAATGGTGTGTGGGTGCCTTTGTGTGTGTGCAGCTGCTGGGAGGCTGCTTGGATGCGTTCTGTACGAACTCCAAAGTCTGAAGCAAATCACGAAACGTGAGGCCATATTTTGACGAAAAAAGTTGCTGAAAATTGAAATTCACGAAGTGCGGGACTCGTGAAACTCAGGAGTCCACTGTATGTCATGCCAAATAGGTAAAACTGGTCAATTAAGAAGAACTCGTTTAAAATTAACTCCTTTCTAAAATTTTCTCTTATACATTTAGATATATTTTTTCATTTATATTAATAGAAAAATTAATGCTTTTGTACCAAAAGAGCCTTAGGAAACTTTCCTAACCTTATTATAACAAGTGCAATTTAATTTAGCTTAATCTAGCTAAATATATTTTATACAAGTTTATAATAATTTAATAATAAACACAATGAAATTTTTTCATTAGGTTCAGAATGATTTTTGCAAAATTATTGCATACACAAATTTTAGCTTGCCTTATTTGGCAAGAAGAGCATTGCTATTTAAGCCAAAATAGCAAGTTTTACCTATTCGGCACAACACATATATGTATGTATGTATGTTTATGGATGCACATATATGAAATGCTACAATTGCAGACAGGCAATCTTAACAAGGCAAGACAATGTATGTATATATTTATGGATATATGGCCCCTAGGCTCACCCTTACTTGTTGTCTGCCTAGATGAACTCAAAGTCAATAAACCATGGTCTAGTCTACATAAGTTCATATTATCCTGCATTGCTCCTAGCTCATGCCAGCTACCTCTACACATTGCTGTAACAAGTATGTTTGTACATATATAATGTCTGTATGAATAAATGTATCCATGTATGTATAAATATTGTCAGTGAACTATACAACAAATTAATTTAATAAAAGTTGACAAGAAAATGGTAAATCAATCCTCAAATATATGTAAGCTTTTAAGATGAGCAGAACACCAACCTTCATCTTCCTTCATCTTGGCGACTTCATCCTGGCTCAGGAAAGAGAACTTCTTGTTCTCTGTAACAAAGTCATGCAAAATCAACAATATACACTCATGCAGAAACTTAAAAACCAAAAATACACAAAACAGAAAAATTATGTGGGTGAAGTGCTCTTCCAATGGATTAAGATGACTGTTATTTAGTAAGCATAAACAGTACAAGGTTACAATTGCAGTATGTCACACACTTGTCACTTGTTACTTTTCATTAATAATACAGTAAGGACTTTCTATTAAGATATGCCAATACACACACATACACATACAGACACACAAATATGCATGCATGCATACATGCACATACACACATTTATACAGTAAACCTTTTCATGATGCATCCCTGCACAGAACAATTCTGGTTAAACACTACTGAAAAAAGTGTGTAATTAAACTCTTCATATTATGATCAGTAAATCTAAAAATTTTAAACAACATGTGAAATTAGGGTAGATAAAGGAGCTTACTAGAAATAAAATAATGATAGATCTGATCTTTACAAACAATAAGAAGCTAATAAAAACAATCTTTAATACAATACACTAAGATCACAAGCACACTGAAGTGCATACAAGCATGAATACATGTGTAGAGAACCTAAGCAATAATGAAGGTGAACTGACTGGGAACTATCAAACACTCCCTGGGAAACTGTCCAAAGTATGTACTCTAAATTAAAACATGCATAAAAAACTGAGTGCAGAAACATGCAAGGTCTGTCAAAAATACGTCCCTTTGAGAAAGCCTAAAAGATAGAACATAGAAACGTTTACAGGAAAACAAGAAGTTTGTTGCCGAGTACAGTAAGACCCTTTACTGCATGCACCTCCATAGTATGTTTTCAATAGAAGGCTATCATATATATATATTTAAAAACTATTATTTTAAAGTTTTGCCAGAGTTTATGCACTGTGACTGTATTTAAAAGGCAGCTCAGGTATGAAAACTTCTCTCTCTGCTCAAAAATTTATATGCCTTAAGAAAAGCCAGTTGCTGATTCTGGTCAGCATGATGCAAACTGTAGTGGGACTTTTAACCTCAGACAACTGACCCATAGCTATGACTGATAAAACAGATTACTCATAGTTATCTACCACTCAGTAGTAATGTAAGCATCTCCAAACACATCTCTAGCAACAAACAAGAGAGCCAAGAATTTAAGGTAGAATAAAATTCTTCCATATCACAATTATAAACAAGAATATTATACAGCATAATGCATGAGTGACATTAGCTAATAAAACAGATGAAATCTGTTTAGGTGAAATCCCACAGGCCTAAAAAGTGATGACTTGGCCCTTCCTCACAGAGGAAGCTCCAGAGTAATGGAAAAAACTACATACTAGTAGTACTGGCATTACTTATCAATCATGAACATCTTTGAAAAGGTGATGAAGTGCTACTTTATTTTATTTAGAAACACAAGTTACACAACCCAAATCAACATAGTTTTAGAGGAAGATATTATGCCTTTCAAAACTATTTGATTATGGCAAAATTATAGAAGCCTTGAAAAGCAAAAAAACAAAAAAAATGCTTATGTGGCAAACACAATCTTTGCAAAACCATTTGAAAAAATGTGACCATAGAGTGGCAGCCCTAAAAGTGATGGCAAAAATTATAACATGTAGTAAATAAAACAAAAACAATCTAGTTTCAACAAAGTAAAAAGTTCAATACTCCAGGTATGGGCTTGGACTGGCTCTTTTATAGATTCTCATCCCCACAGCAGCCATAAATAAAAACATTAGCCAAAACTTTGAATCATTCTTTGTTACAATACTAAAATAAGTATGAAAGTCACCTCAACCTTGAAAGGGTTAAGGATCTTCAATCTTTCTTCATATGGATGATTTCTAATACTATGTACAGTGGACCCCCGGTTTACGATCAGCTCCCAATGCGACCAATTACGTAAGTGTATTTATGTAAGTGCGTTTGTACGTGTATGTTTGGGGGTCTGAAATGGACTAATCTAATTCACAATATTCCTTATGGGAACAAATTCATTCAGTAATGGCACTTGAACATACTTCTGGAATGAAATAATATCGTAAACCAGGGGTCCACTGTATTAATTTTGTCATTCTTCACTGAATGTTTTCTAACGAATTTATGTCATTCTGTAATATGAAGACCAGAACTGAGCTGCGTAATCCAGGTGAGGCCTCCCTAATGATGTATAAAGCTGTAGTATAAATGCTGGACTTCTGTTGCTTTCACTTCTTGATATAAATCCCAGTGATCTATTTGCCTTATTATGTATGCTTAGGCATTGCTGTCTTGGTTTAAGGTTGCTGCTTACCATAACCACCAAGTCCTTTTCGCATTCTATACAGCTAAGTTCTGCATTATTTAGCTTAAAGGTGCTTGGGTTACGAGCATTCCAGAGCTTCAGAACTTAGCATTTATCTTCATTGAGCTGTATCTGCCACTTTTCTGACCACGAATTGAGTTTGTCTAAATCCTCCTGAAGTTCCGTGACATCTACGTTTGAATCAATTATCCTACCTATCTTCGTGCCATCAGTGAAACTACTCATATCACTAGTAATTCCTTCATAAAGATCATTGATATATATTATAAACAACAATGGGGCTAAAACTGATCCCTATGGAACGCCCTTGTTACAGATCCCCACTCCGATTCTACCTCGTTTATGCACACTCTCTGCTTCCTGTTGGTGAGCCATGACTTGATCCATGACAGCACTTTTCCCCCAATGCCATGAGCTGCCACTTTTTTTAAGTCACTCGTGCAGTACTCTATCAAAGACCTTACTAAAATCCAAATAAACAATATCAAATTTTTTATCGTGATCAACAGCCTCAAAAGATTTACTGAAGTTAGTAAACTAGTTAGGCAGGAATGGCCCTTCATGAATCCATACTGAGTATCATTTTTCAAATTATGCTTATGAAGATGACTTCTTATAATATCAGCTATAACTGATTCTAGTAATTTGCCTACAATTGAGGTCAGGCTTACTGGCCGGTAATTTGACGGTAACAGCTTGTGAATGTATTCAGATATTTGGGAGTGGACGTGTCAGCGGATGGGTCTATGAAAGATGAGGTGAATCATAGAATTGATGAGGGGAAAAGGGTGAGTGGTGCACTTAGGAGTCTGTGGAGACAAAGAACGTTGTCCTTGGAGGCAAAGAGGGGAATGTATGAGAGTATAGTTTTACCAACGCTCTTACATGGGTGTGAAGCATGGGTGATGAATGTTGCAGCGAGGAGAAGGCTGGAGGCAGTGGAGATGTCATGTCTGAGGGCAATGTGAGGTGTGAATACAATGCAGAGAATTCGTAGTTTGGAAGTTAGGAGGAGGTGCGGGATTACCAAAACTGTTGTCCAGAGGGCTGAGTAAGGGTCGTTGAGGTGGTTCGGACATGTAGAGAGAATGGAGCGAAACAGAGTGACTTCAAGAGTGTATCAGTCTGTAGTGGAAGGAAGGCAGGGTAGGGGTTGGCCTAGGAAAGGTTGGAGGGAGGGGTAAAGGAGGTTTTGTGTGCGAGGGGCTTGGACTTCCAGCAGGCATGCGTGAGCGTGTTTGATAGGAGTGAATGGAGACAAATGGTTTTTAATACTTGACGTGCTGTTGGAGTGTGAGCAAAGTAACATTTATGAAGGGGTTCAGGGAAACCGGCAGGCCAGACTTGAGTCCCGGAGATGGGAAGTACAGTGCCTGCACTCTGAAGGAGGGGTGTTAATGTTGCAGTTTAAAAACTGTAGTGTAAAGCACCCTTCTGGCAAGACAGTGATGAAGTGAATGATGGTGAAAGTTTTTCTTTTTCGGGCCACCCTGCCTAGGTGGGAATCGGCCAGTGTGATAATAATAATAAAATAAAAACTTGTCCCTGGATTTAAAAATAGGAATTACATTAGTCATCTTCCACGTATCAGACACTACACCTGTTTGAAGAGATATGTTAAAAATGTTAGTTAATGGTTCACACAGTTCCATTTTGCACTCCTCTTAACTGATTGGAGTGAGAGATATGGGAGGAAATGTAAAATAGTCAGTGAAAAGCAGACATGCCACTGGCACAATAAAAGAACATTGTGTCAACGTCCACGACCCAAGATTCTTCAAACTGCTACCAGAAGATATCAAAAATATTACTGGAACAAATGTATAAGTCTTAAGATGACCTCTGCCAAGTGCCAGATCAACTAGGCTGTAATGGCTATGAGGCCAGCAGGCTTCTAACAGCAATACCTGATTGATTAGACAATCTACAAGGAAGCTGGGCCCAAGGCTGGGCTGCATGGTGTAGATGAGCCCTCAAAACTGGTCACAAGAATGTTACACAGGCATGCCATGCAAAATACTACAAGAAATAGACAAGAATAGGGCCTTTGTTTGGCATGTGACTAGAACAAGCATGGAAATTACTCTCCCAAATAAGCCACAGGTATAACAGGACATTTTCTTTAACATAAGAGCAGTATTAAGTAAAATGAGCTCAACAATGATACAGTGAAGGTGGATTTTGACCATGAGCTCCAAAATAGATATGAAATAGGTAATTCATGAGTCAGTAGAAAGTTAAGAGACCAAGAGTCACAGATCACCCTCACAAGCTGAAACAGATACTGGACATTTACAACCCAGGAAGAGAAAGACAATCTTATGCATTGTGAAATGACGTGTGACAAGAGACAGGCCATTAGTGTGGGAATAAATAATTATTTAACCCTTTCGGTGTCAGGCCCATTGCATCAAGGCTTAGAAGCCAGTGTTGGTCCCATAGTATGATGCCATGAGCTCAGCTCACTCAGATAAGCTGTGAATGGTAAATCTGGGCCTAGATATAAAAGAATGGGTCTATGCAGTAAGTGTGCACCATATGAAAAAAATCCTGCAGTAGGCAGTGCATAATGATAAAAAAAATCTGCAACCATGTTTTTTGTTAACCCTTTCAGGGTTTCCGAAGTACTAGTATGGCTTACACACCAGGGTTACTGATGTACTAGTACGCCTAAATTCTAGCGCCTTCAAATCTAGCGAGAGAAAGCTGGTAGGCCTACATATGAAAGAATGGGTCTATGTGGTCAGTGTGCACAGTATAAAAAAAAATTCTGCAGCACACAGTGCATAACGAGAAAAAAAAATCTGTGACCGTGTTTTTGGTTTAAAACAGTGACTTTGCACTGTATTTTCGTACGGTATTTATAGTTGTATTCTAGTTTTCCTGGTCTCATTTTATAGAATGGAAGACATATTACAGAAATTGAGATGATTTTGATTGGTTTCACAATGAAAAGTACCTTGAAATTGAGCTCAAAGTAGCAGAAATGTTCGAATTTTGCCAAAGTTCAAAAGTAAACAAATCATGCTATGCGTCCAATACACATCAACTGGTGAGTCTAATATTCTTTCACAAGTGCAGTGATATTATTTATACCATTTCTACACTAATGCAGTAGTCTGCATAACAGTAAATCTTCTATTTTTTGTTAGAATAAAAATTCAAAGTGGAAAGCAAAAGAAATGTAAGAAGGGCCTGGGGATGTGACTAATGAACAGAGAAAATGTTATTTTAGTGCCAGGAATGTATGTCTTGTTTATTCTGGACCCTATTTGGAAATTGGTATCTTTTGAAATTTGTGTGAAATTGGCAAAATTGCTGAGTTCTGACCACTTTATTGGATAGTTGAAATCGATAAATGGGTGGTGTCTTGTACTCATTTGATAGAAAAAATGGAGTTCTAGCGAAATAGTTATGATTTTTGTCGACTAGTACACTGGAATTGGCTGAAAATAGGGCTCAAAGTGGGCGAAATTGCCGATGTGTAAACATCGTCGAGACCGCTAACTTTGCAAGAGCATAATTCCGTAAGTTTTCCATCAAATTTCATACTTTTGGTGTCATTATGATTTGGAAAAGATTCTGTTTTCATAAGAAAAAATATTTTTTTTCCAAAAAATTTTTGATCCTGAGAACAAGTTTAGGAGAGGGCCTCTTGACCCTGAAAGGGTTAAAACAGGGAATTTGTGGTTTATTTTCATGTGGTTTTTATTGTTGTATTCTCGGTTTCTTGGTCTCATTTGATAGAATGGAAGATGTATTACAGAAATAGAAATAATTCTGTTTAGTTTCCGGACAGAAAGTAGCTTGAAATTGAGCTCAAATTAGTAGGAATGTTCGATTTTTGTTGATATTCCAGAGTACACAATAAGACTCCAACTGGCCAGTCTGATATGCATTTAGGATTGCACTGACATTATTTATACAATTAGTATTACAATAATGCAGTAATCTGCATAATAGTAAATCTTCTATATTTTGTGTAAGTAAAAGTTCAAAATGAAAAGCAAGTGTAACAAAGGAGGGGCTTAAAGACATGACCAAGGAACAGAAGAAATGTTCATTTAGTGCCAGGAATGTCTACATCATTTATTTTGGACCCTATTTTCAAATTGGCAATTGTTGAATTTTATATGAAATTGGCCAAATTACCAATTTCTGATCACTTTATTGGATAGCTGAAATAAGTAAATGGTCAGTTTCTTGTGCTCAATCGATGGAATAGAAGGAATACTAGCAAAATAGCTGAGTCTGTTATACTAGAACAATGGAATTGGCCGAAAATAGAGTGTAAAGTGGTCAAAATCGCCGATGTGTATATATCACTAAGACCACTAACTTTGCTAGAACATAATTTTGTAAGTTTTCCATCAAATTTCATACTTTTGGTTTCATTACCTTTGGAAATTCTCTTATCATTTCATAATTTTTTTTTTTTTTTAATTCTTTGACCCTGAGAGGAAGTTTGAGAGCAGGGGTCTCGACACTGAAAGGGTTAAAATTACCCGATAAATAAACAAAAGAAATTTAATTTGAGGGCCACATAAAAAGATAATGACAAAGACATGGAATAGCTTGTGATAATGCTTTCAAACACGTTATTCTATTTTTTCCAAAATGTAGAGAACTGCTTTGAGGGACTGAATACTAGCAGTTGATTGAGAGTGGTGGTAAAATAATAATTAACCTGCCCTAAGACAACAATGTGAGTTTGGTGATAAGCAACAAGTTAACCTGTTATATGAGCCAAACAAAGCATGTACATTTGCAGTTACCAGTAAATAACAAACAAGGTATGCATTACTCTCAAACTAAAATGCACCAACACTAGAACATTATTATCAAATATTAAAATTTTATGAAGCATCACACAAATAACATCTAAACTAAGCTATGGGCTACTTATATACACACACTGCAATATTATTAGATTAAAAGCTTACCTTTAGGAGGCCCAATTTTATCCCTCTTCATTTCCTCTTCAAAGAACTTCATTCTATCTTTTAATGTCATCTTTTTAGGGCTTTCGGTAGTGGATTTTTCTACCTGAAAAAAGATGTAATATTGAAAACTTTGTTCTATGAAGATCAGCAAGAGCAACAGCTATACACAGTATATATTTTCCCATATAATTCACTTCTAGTTAGTTATTGACAAGAAATCATACAACTTCATGAATACAATACATGGAGGAAAAAACTTCGTTTTTCCATATTAGCCATTTTTCACAGAGGTAGGGTGAATTAAAAAAGCAAACACATTCACCATCATTCATACAAAAGCTGCCATACCAGAAGTGTGGGTATCACAATTCAGATGTCCCTCCACTGCAACATTCCTCCCCCTCCTTCATATGAGAGGCACTGATATTCCCACATCCAGAACTTAAGTCTGGTTAAGTGGTTTGTATGAATCCCTTCATGAAAATAATACTTTACTTAAGCTACAACAGCATGTCAAACACAGAAAAACCACTTGTTTCCTCTCATTCCAATCTAACACTTTTACACCTTCCTGCTGGATATTTTGAGCCCTATCATTGTGACCTCCATTTAACCTTTTCTAGGATGTCCCAAACCTCACCCATCATCCACTCCTCTGCTCTCTAAATTATACCTTACACGTAATTAAGGTAGTAGGTTGGTAGACAGCAACCACCCAGGGAAGTACTACCGTCCTGCCAGATGACTGTGAAACAGAAACTTGTAACTGTTTTGCATGATGGTAGGATTGCTGGTTTCTTTTTCTGTCTCATAAACATGCTAGATAACAGGGATATCTTGCTATTCCTACTTACACTTTGGTCACACTTCACAGACACGCACATGCATATATATATACATACATCTAGGTTTTTCTCCTTTTTCTAAATAGTTCTTGTTCTTTATTTCTTCTATTGTCCATGGGGAAGTGGAAAAGAATCTTTCCTCCGTAAGCCATGCGTGTCGTATGAGGCGACTAAGTGTGTATTATTTTTATTGTTATTTTGGTCCATTTTTCTGAAGTCTATTAAATCGAGGTTAATCTTTGACATGGAGGAGCGAGTAAAATGACCATAACAGCAATTAGTGCAATCAGCAGCCAAGACAGCAAGGGAGTGTAGGTGCACAGATGCAGAGAAGATAAACAGATGAATAACTGTAAAAAGTGATTAAAGTGTTTATATACTGATTTAAAAAGCCATTTAGCAACAGACTGTTATTCCTAGATAGGTTCATGGAATCTGAACACACAGATTATAAATTTCTTTAAGAAAAGTTTGTATTAACTATAAAATTAACAAACATGCAAGAATTGTTTGTCAATGAGGCATAAAGAAAGAAGCAGCAGGGCACTCAACATGCTTTATTTACCCTGCATGTTAACATACCTTGACCCTGTTGAATTTTTTGTTAGTATGACCCAATCCATATGCTTGTAACTGCACCAAGTCTTCTGCTGAGCCTTCAAGAGCGCAGATAGGGAGGGGTGTAGGGGTGTGAGATGAAGAGGAAGGGGAAACAGGTGATGCAGTGTGGCTCAGATCACCACCATTGGTACTGGCACGTGCTGAGGCGATCGGCTATACACGGGAGTGTTATGGGTGTTAGTTGTTGAAGAAGTGATGATGACTTATCGATTAAGAGAGCTACTAAACAGACAGGTAACATTACAAAAGATATTGTACTTATTTCAACTACAAGTAGTATTCTTAAATATAAAATGGTGTTGTACTGCAGAACTGCACAGCTTTGCCTTCATATTTACCCCTTACTGTATTTAAATATACACTGACTTACTTAATACATTACAGCACCCATGTTTTGCAGATATATAAATAAAAGACATTTTCTATTTGCCATACAGTGATTAACAGTTTAACTAAAATAACATTTTGAAAGGTCCTGAAAGAATATATTTTACCAGTGGTTATGCCATATATACAGTATTGTGAACAAAATAAACTAATATCAGAAATACAACAAATTTACATTCACCTTTCCACATTCTTCAGTCTGACATTCTGGAAATTCTGTTATCTATGATTAGGTAAAAGGAAATTATAGTACAGTAGAAACTCTGTATCCACTGAGTCAGTATCTGCGGTTTACTGTGGCCCAAAAATAACTCTTAATTTTGCACAATAATGGCCCCAAAGTGCAAAAGTAGAAAAGCTGGCAGTTCTTCAAAGCCTAAGAGAAGCCATGAAGTGTTTCCCATCAGTGAAAAAAGTGATAATGCTCCACTTATTATGTATAATTTATCCAACTTTACAATAGGGATGTATAAGACTTATATATACGGTTTGCTACAATCCACGGTTTCAGCATCCATGGCAGGTCTTTGGAATGTATCCCCCACAGATACTTGGGTCCTACTGTAAAATATTCTAATTCAACATCTCCTTCCTATTTATAAGTTAGAAAATAAAAATCAGCCAATTTTCTTTATACAGTGGACCCCCGCATACTGTTGGCATCACATAACGTTAAATCCGCATAGCGATACATTTTATCACTAAAATTTTGCCTCGCATAGCGCTAAAAAACTCGCTCAATGCTATTCGTCCGAGACTCGTCTATGTGAGGCCTGAGCCAGCCTCACATGTTCCGCTGGTGGCAATGTTTACAAGCCAACCTCCGCGGTAACATCAAAGCATACAATCGGAACATTTCGTATTATTACAGCGTTTTTGGTGATTTTATCTGCAAAATAAGTGACCATGGGCCCCAAGAAAGCTTCTAGTGCCAACCCTGTGGTAAACAGGGTGAGAAATATTATCGAAATACTGTGGTACCATGGTCAACTGCTGATGCTGCTGCTGCTGTAGCATTGTCAGCTGCTGCTGCTGCTGTAGCACCGTCAGCTGCTGCTGCTGCTGTACCACCGTCAGCTGCTGCTGCTGCTGTAGTACCGTCTGCTGCTGCTGTAGCACCGTCTGCTGCTGCTGTAGCACTGTCAGCTGCTGCTGTAGCACTGTCAGCTGCTGCTGTAGCACTGTCAGCTGCTGCTTCACTGTCAGCTGCTGCTGCTGCTGCACTGTCAGCTGCTGTTGCTGTAGCACTGTCAGCTGCTGCTGCTGCTGCTGTAGCACCGTCAGCTGCTGCTGTTGCTGTACCACCGTCAGCTGCTGCTGCTGCTGTAGTACCATCTGCTGCTGCTGTAGCACCGTCTGCTGCTGCTGTAGCACTGTCTGCTGCTGCTGTAGCACTGTCAGCTGCTGCTGCTGCTGCTGTAGCACCGTTGTTGGTGTGGCTTATTGAGAATACCAAGAAACAATTAACCCCAGAGGGTTAGCCACCCAGGATAACCCAAAAAAGTCAGTGTCATCGAAGACTGTCTAACTTATTTCCATTGGGGTCCTTAATCTTGTCTCCCAGGATGCAACCCACACCAGTCCACTAACACCCAGGAGAACAGGGAAAAATGCCTGGAACTAGTGCTCATATTGGTGAATTTAAAGCCAGCAAAGGTTGGTTTGAGAGATTTAAGAATCGTAGTGGCATACACAGTGTGATAAGGCCTGTTCTGGAAGAAAATGCCAAACAGGACCTACAGTACTCAGGAGGAAAAGGCACTCCCAGGACACAGTGTCTCATCAGTCATTGCTGCATCTTCAATAAAGGTAAGTGTCATTTATTCTTCATTTAGTAGAGTAGTACATGCACAATATATATTGTGCATGTACTACTCTACTATTGTGCATGTATCCTTCTCTTTGTGTGTAGGAAAATGTATATTTCATGTGGTAAATTTTTTTTTTTCATACTTTTGGGTGTCTTGCACGGATTAATTTGATTTCCATTATTTCTTATGGGGAAAATTCATTCGCATAACGATAATTTCGCATAACAATGAGCTCTCAGGAACGGATTAATATCGTTATGCGGGGGTTCACTGTATTGTATGCCAAACAGATTTACCTTATGATAGCATTCTTTTGTAAACTTTCCTTATGAATTTTTATATTAATGCCAAGTGAGTGAAATTAATGTTACTATAGCCATGTGAAGTTTTAGCCTGGCACTTATGCCAGAAAAAGCAAAAATCACTAGCCCACACATTTATTGGGGTGAAGATTCATAGGTAAATTCATAGCGATGCCAACAGAGCATACACACATTTAACCAAATACTGTACAGGAACACTAACATTCTCCATGAGGCTCTGGGCTCAAAAAATATGCTGTGCTATGCAAAATATCGTTTGTCAATAAACTCAATGACTTCAAGATTATTACTTCATACAATGGCAGTGCACTTTTATTTTTATAGAACTTTTTTCTTATATTTGAAATTTTCTCCCATAAGAAAAACGTTGGAAAGCAAAAATGGTCACATGCATGGCATAGCTGGTCAGAGTTTAAGGCAGCAATGCACAACCTGCAGTCTCTGAGTACCACAATTGCAGCCCCTGAGAAGAGGAAGAAGAAAGAAGAGGAGGAAAGATGATTGATGATGACTTGTGATGCTGAATACCTACCATTGTCTTTACTCAGTTTATACACTGTGCACTGTATAGTTGTGTTATTAAAATTGGCCTGAAAAGACCATGTATTCCTGGTCTAAGATTTAATTAAAATAAAATTTATATTAAGTAGGGTAATAAAATAATCCAAATATGCTCAAGTGTTACACTTTTGTAGACTCCAAAGTACATGTTTTTTCTTAAGTTATAAATCTGGCAAAAACATGAGCTAATATGCCAAACATTTAAGACTTTGAATAATAATAACAATCAGTCACACATTAAAGTTTTTTTATTATAACAATGTACAATATAATACACAACATTAGCAGTTATATTTTTCTATACATTTTCCAGGATCATAACATGTTTGCCCACCTACCCCATTTCATTTTGGTTTTTAAATTTAAAAGCATATGAGAGCATATAAAAGTATATGTAAGGAAGTATGACCCTCTTTAGGAGAGATGAAAAAATTCCAAACATTTGAATGGAGGATAAACCTCAAAAGAAGAAGAAGAAGAAGAAGACGGGAAAAAAAAAAAAAAAAAAGACCAGTTATGAGCAATAAATCTGTGAGGGGTAAGATTCAACCAGTAGCAAAGGCAGTGTGTAAAAGATGTGTAAACAAGGGGTCATTTACATAAACTTTCAACTGTACATAGTAGTAGTAACTGCTCACTACTGTAACAGTGA